GATTTAGCAGCACTCATTAGTAACAAAAACAAGTTACAGTAATAAAGAAGTCGAGGCTAACAAAAGTAGTTTTATCCCACGAGGTTACTAGTGATATTAAGGACAAAATCAAAGTGGCTTTATTAAGTTAAAAGACATAGTCTAAACTGAAAACAAAACAAAAACACAAATTTCTCATCATCATTCCCAACTTATTTTTAAATGTAAAGTTATATAAACTAAGTTTTCACTCAGCTAAAATAACCTACTAGAATGTTTGTTTACTCTGTTTATACAGATTATGCAGCATCAAAGAGCTGCCCAAGAATCTGAAAAGGTAGAAACAAAGGGTTAGAGAATCAAAACAGAAAAAGATGTCAGTATCTGGTGATAAAATCCTTACCTTATCATATTGGCATACAACAACATTTTCTGTGTCAAACAGTTCCTGTCCTTCCTCATCACTCACATCATCTTCACTATTGAGGGGCTCCTACAAACAAAACAGGAGAGCTTATTTATGATCCAGGTACTAATTATCAGTAAAAAAGTTCTTCATATTCAATAAAAACAGTGACCTTGACCTTAAGATTCAAGTGCCAGTTGGATGCATACATACAGCACAAACACAATGTTAATTGGCTATGTTAAGAACAATGTTACAAAAATTAAATGATATTATAATATTTAAGGTACAAAGCCTTAACTTTATTAAGTATGAACAGGTTTTTGCTTTCTTTCATTTTTTCAGAACAACACAGAAGATAATTCTGCCTAGAAATAGATCCAAGAAACTATAAAGGTTTAATTATATAAAGGCACTTAAACAGCAGAAAACAAAACTATAAAATTGCTCAGCAATCTGGCCTAAGACTCCAAATATTCTACCATTAACTAAGACAAACCAATTAAAAGGAGATGGGTGAGGGAGGGATCTGGACTTGAGTACAAAAGTCAATGGTCAAGATCCAAGCATGACATAAAAACACCAACTTCGTTAAACTTGACCTCAGTTATGTCAGAGGACAAAAGAGAAAATTCAAATTTCTAACTGGAGAGAGAAGCCAAAATAAAAGCAGAAAGATGAATTATGAAGATCTAAATCTTGATACCTACTCGACATGCACACTCTGCAAATATATGTATTTTTTAAATTTAAAATAGATACCACCGGCCTTGTTGTTTTTTTCCTGGTTTTGCATAAAAAGCTTCCAGCATTTTACTGTTGAATGTGATTATTAGCCGTGGACTTATTATACATGGCTTTTACTAAGCCAAGGTACTTAGCCTCTGTATCCACTTTTTCTCAGTTTCTAATATAAATGGATGCTAACTTTTGTCAAGTGCTTGCTCTGCATCTATTGAGATAAGCATACTTACCCTTAATTTTGTTAACATAGCACATTCACTGATTATGGATACTGAACTGTCCTTGTATCCCTGAAGTAAATCCCACTTAATCATGCTAAATGATCTTATATGTATTGTTGCTTTCAGGTTGCAAATATTTTGTTAAGGATTTTTGTGTCTATATTCACCAGGAATACTGTGTTTTAATTTTCTTGTGGCATCCTTATCTGCTTTTGGTTATCAGGGTAGTGTTGGTCTTCTAGTTCATGAAAGAGTTTGAGAATGGTTGTTATTAATTCTTCTAAATGTTTAGCAGAATTCACCAGAAGTCATTTTGTCCTGGATTTTTTGCTTGTTGGGAGGTTTTTAATTACTGATTTGATCTCCTTGTTCATAAAGTATGTCCAGATTTCTATTTCTTCAATATTCTGATGCTGGTGTGCAAGAGTTACTGTGGATAACAGCTGCTATTGCTGCTTTTTACCCTAGCAATCACATGAAGCCATAAAAAGGAATTCACAGACTTTTCAGATAAGTAGAAAAAAGCAAGCATGAAAAAGGACAAAGAGCAAAGACTCTTTGCTAGGTATAAAGTGCCTGGGAGAGGCAAAGAAAGTTGTTACAAGGTCTTCCTTCAGAAATATATACTTTCTTTACCTCATTATTCTAAAGTTCCATTAGTCTCTGTGATTGGTTAATTCTTGGTGATCTCACTTAATTTGCTTGTGATTTTCCTACAGTAAATCCCTTATGTTTCAGTCTTCCATCCAGAAGGACCTGTTGTTTTTGTTGCCCCTAGCTCTAGGGTGCTTGATTATCTCCATTATCTTTTCCTTCAGAATTGTTTGCCCTTATCTCTGGATCTTCCCTTATTCCTGTTGTTGCCCTTATCTCTGGAGCTTCCCTGAAGTCCTTACTTACATTGTCCTTAAAGCTACCTAATTATCTTAATTTGCCCTATAATTCAATTCAATCTTGGAAAATTATATTTTCTAGGAATTTAAACATTTTTGCAAAGTTGTCAGTGTGGTGGCACATAACTGTTCTTAGTAGTCTCTTTTAAGTTTTGGTATATTATAGTTCCATTTGCCTTAAGTCATTTTTTGCTTTTAATTTCTTGTTTGAGACTCTGGTTGTTCAATGGCAAATTATTTTATCTCACCATATCTGTGAACTTTCCACTTTTCATTTTGTAACTGATATCTAGTTTCATACCATTTGGGTTGAAGGAATTGGATTCTTGAGCTAAATTGGATTAAAAAACACTTCCATTTACTCACTAGGGGGCATATTTTTTAAAAAGATTTATTTGTTTACTTTGCATAAAAGAACTGGGATATAGGCCAGAAGTTGGGGTGGGGGCTACCAGAGACCCCAACCATTCTTTCTTAATTATAAAATATTTAAAAGCACATTCTTTAGTTAAGGTAAAGATCCTCTCTTGTCATGAAATTGTGCCTGTGTGAAAGGATTCACCAAAGACAAGGGTGGGGAGCAGAACAGGCAGATCTAATGAAATACACTACTGACAGGAATAGAGGGCAAGACAAGAGAGGTCTGCTGCACCATATGTGGGGTCAGCTCCCTGGCTGGGGATTGAATTCAGGCCACAGCAATGATAGCACTGATACTTAACCCCTAGGCTACCAGAGAGAGCCCAACCATTCTTTCTTAATAATAAAATACTTAAAAGCACATTTTTCAGTTAAGTCAAAGATACTGTCTTGCCTGAGAAATCTGTCATCATGTGTTCTCCATGAGATTCCCTTCAACTTCCTGACAATAAAGGATTGGTTATTCCTGTTTAAACCATAATTGCTCTCTCTCTACATGAACTTAACAGGGAATTATACTTATTACAAGTGTGTCTGTTATGAAGAACTAATAAGTTATAATGAGCAAAAGTGGATGCTCTGATAACTATGAATAATGACTTTTATAACTTCTTACTGGTATATAGTTGGCTGAACTTTACCCTTTCGTTAAGAAGCAGTAAAACCCATAGAGCTGACATTAACTATTTAAGTCCCCTAATATATCTGTTTGTATTAAGCAAGGCTATTTATAAACTCTTATCTATGAAAGCAAAACAAATTTAAGGATAATGCCATTTGTAAAGTTAATTCATTCAGGACATAAATTCTGCATGATCATCACTATAGCTTCCATATCTGGCCTATTCAGGTCCTTAACAAATATTCACTTAATGAGTAGCAGTTATAAATAAAATCTAGTTTCTTGTTAAGAGTTTTCAGCACTTGGTAAAAACTCATGCTGAAATTAAACATATATGCAACTTAATATGTAGAACTAATGATTGTAGTCAGAAAACAATTTTTATTCTGAATTAAATGTTTCAATAAATAAAAATCTCAATGTTAGTAGCTGTTAA